ACATGTAGCCCATGTACATGTATGTAGGTATACATGAGTATACAAACGGCGCTCCTAGCACTGTCTCGACATCGAAGGCACTGGCTCCATCCCAGAGCTACCGCCAATACCTCGATCCATCCCAGCATCAGCGATTGCAGGTACCGGTGAAGCCTCAGGTTTGTGCCATAGCAGCATTATTACCTGCGAAAACACATGTATGTACATGTACAGAAGTAGACACGGTCATGCAAACGGCACTCCTAGCACTGTCTTGACTTCGAAGGCACGGGCTCCATCCCAGCATCCCCAATATCCCGATCCATCCCAGCATCACCGACTGCAGGTGCTGTTGAGGCCTCAGGTTTGTCTCAATAGCATCACTGCATTACCTGCCAAAACACATGTACTCCATGTATATGAGTATACACGGGCATACAAGCGGCACTCCCAGCACTGTGTCTTGACATCGAAGTCACGAGCTCCATCCCAGCATCACCGCCAATATCCCGATCCATCCCAGCATCAGCGAGTGCAGGTACCCGTGAAGCCTCCGATTTGTACATGTGTCCATAGCGTCATTAAATCGATACACCCGGCAAAACACATGTACCCCTCATGTATAGAAGTTCCAGCAAGGCACCGGATCCATCTCAGCACGGTTTGCTGGGCCCGGACTGTTGGCAGCCTTAGCTGCGAAAGCATCTGAACCGCCGGTGCCATCGCATTTTCTTGATTGAGGCTTCCTGCTGGTTGACATCCCACAAGCGCTCAGCGACAAATTCTCTCCCCACACAGTCTGTATTTATGTAATTATAATACATACCACACACGAGAGAAAGTACCACTGCACTTGTACAATATTGCACACAACACACCCAAAAACCCAGATCTGGGTTTGGGGAAATGGACCATCTAGAATGCACTCCAAAGCACACGGTTCGTCTCCGCGGTAGTCACCAGGTCGCGGGCCTCATGCATGGTCAGCTAGCATGATAAGATCTGTATACATTTATAAGCACGAGTACACATGAGAACAGATGTCCTCCTCCTCGACAATCGCAAGCGACAACTCGGCTGCAGCTACAACCTCGATCAGAATATGTACAAGTGGATACCATGCATGGACTGCCCACACGTGCATCCCAGGAACATCCAGCTCAGAGTTCAAATCATTGGCCTCAGTACTATAGCATGCAAACATAGATGTGTGCATAAATCACTGCTGGAACTGCGGACACACAACTCTACTGACTCTTACCGTCCAGGCACCAATTTCCCAAGGTCCTCCTCATCACGTACCTTAGGCCCAAGGAGCTCGAGCACATGATGCATGGTTCATCACTACGTATACGAGCATGCTAGCACTAGGGTCTACGGCTTCTTAGGATTGGCGCTCGGGAATATATTTTATTATGCACATACATAATATGATCGAATACAATCCACGTGGCCTCAGCTCTCGAAGTCGAAGCATCGGGGCCCTTGCGTGCAGAAGTGCGGCTGGCATGTATATTATTATATAAGTGATTCACACATATCGTCCCCCTGGCTTTTCAGTCCTTCAGCAGCCAGTCGGGCAGCTCTTGAATCCTGAAAGTCCCATCGTGTCGATGGCGTCGATCCTCCTGAAAACGGTAAATCTTGCGATTTTCGAGGTTGATGAAAATGTTCCAGGGGCCCCATCACAATGCAGCCGTGAGTCCAGTTCCCGGTTCAGCAGATCTTTCTGTCTGATGGTCTCCTGTATCGGCACTACATGAAAAAAAACAAGGTCGTGCTTCATTCATCATGATCTTAACACCACTCGTTCTGCTTCAGGAGCATCCTCGTTGTCACTGCAGACGGTGACCAGATTTGACCCAGCATCTTGCTTCCCAGCCTGCTGCGGATGGAACACAGAACCCACATGTACAGTAAACCCACGAAAGCCCTAGATCAGTCTAAAGATAACTAAAGCAACTATTTTGTGCACCTGGCCATGCAACTCGAGAAGTGGGCAATCGGCATTCACACCCAGAGCGTCCTGAATTTGAAATATGTTTTCAACAGATCAGCAATTGAAACCCCGGCAGCCCCATTACAATGCAGCCGTGAGTCCAGTGCCCGGTCCAGCTCCGCTTTCAGTTGGATGGTCCCCTGGATCGGATCTACATGAAAACTCAAGCTTAAGATTTTGCTTCATCGATTCAATACCACTCGCACTGACCCCTCCTCATCAGCTTCACGATCATCCTCGCTGTCGTCATCGATGATCATCTGTGACCCATCGTTTGGCACTCCAGCCTGCTGCGGATTGAAACCCGCTGTAAACCCAGGAAACCCTTAAAGCTTAGCCTATTTTGCATTGAAACTCAGACAACTATTTTGTGCACCTGGCCATGCAACTCGGGACGTGGGCAATCGGAATCCACACCCAGACGGTCCTGCACTTGAAATATGTTTTCAACTCAAATCATTGCAGCAACTGAACCCCTGGCTCTAGCCTCGCCAATCTCATCGGATGGCATCGGCTCCTCTTGGCCGGGAACCTTGGATCCCCCGACCAACTCAAACCGCACATTAAAACACAAACTCAACCTCCGAAAGCGCGAAGCCACAACGAAATTTGTTGCGGTCCAAAAGCTTTCTCATCCTCATCGAAGATTTCAAAGATCCCATCGCCATCTCCGGCCTCCTCGTCATCGTCGGCACAATCATCGATGTCGATCACCTGCCGGGCTTAAGGAAAAGTCTAGATATGCATGGAAAGCCACAGAAATGGTAGATATAGTACTTAATAGTGTTCTTTATTCAAGCACCTCCGAGCTCAGACTCGACTCCGAGGATCTGCGCTCTGGCTTCTCGGGAGCGGAGCGGCCGTTCACGGCCAAATAAATCCCCTTGAGGATTTTCATCTCGTCACTCCTGCGATATCGATATATTATTCGATAAATATGCATGAACGATCGATGGTGATCATGAGCTGCGTGGTCCGGCAGTCCTCGACTGGCTGGTCCGGAGGACTGACTGCACAACATATGCAGCCAGCCATCTTAACCGTGTCCCCTGGAGTTCGGCCCACTCCTTCACCCGCTGCTTGCTACCCTTCGGAACCTTCTGGAGATTGTAGCAGCAAGACAAGTAAAGGACAGCAGCCCGGTGCTCTTTCATCGAGATGAGCTGTTTCCTTTCTTCCACGTTGTGGAAAAGCTGAGCCCCGTAGCATTTCATGATCTCAAAGTTCTTCTTCGACATCATATCATGCTGCGAAATGTTCGTGTCGAAGACATCTACCAGCTTGGTAGCCTGGGCTTCTGATCCAAAATAGAAATAGAAGCAGCTAGCAGACATATAGAGAAGCACACCAGTCGGAACATGCAACTCGAGTCGCCTTGTCTTGCCGAAGCTCCTCCAAGCGGGACTCCACCAGTGGGCGGAGGCATGCCACGATTCTCATTGCCGAATCCTGGGATTCGGAACACGTTCGATCTGCATATCAGGATGTGCATCCGGTGCAATCATATGCTGACTAGTTTCACTCACGAAAAACCGCAGGGGCCGTATAACCTGCTTACCGTGGATTAATTCGCCCTGAGCAGACCGCCGCACACCATCGAGGAACTTGAACTCTGGTTCTGCCATTTTGGCAGCGGATCCTTCACCTCTTGAAACCGTGGAACCCAGCCCGATCGGCATGTGATGCATAGAAGCTGCTTAAGCTGAAGTGTTCTAGATCTGCGATCGGCCCCGAAGACTTGCAGACCGAATTGCAAACATCTGGACTGCCATGCACCCGTGCGCATGCTCGCTCGGCCCCGAAAACTGCAGATTCATGAGCAATGCAAGGGCAAGGATTGCAATCGATCACTGCATGCATGGCCACTGATGGAGCAACACACTCACAGCACGTACTGGCAGCTGATAGGGGTGGGCGCACCTGCCTTTCGCTTCGACGAACATTCGTGAAGCATGATCCAGCGGCCCGGCATTGTAAAAATGCAGTCAATTATGGAACCGAGCTCTAGACATGATATACCCCATACGGCCCATACATGCACGGCGTGCACGTGCACTATAGCCAGCTATAATATATATATATATATATATATATATATTATACATACATACGTGTATATATATATATATATGTATGTATCCAGGCTCCACCTGCAGGCGAGCGATCTGTACTGCTGTACATGTAGCAGTACTGCACAGCTACTCTACGTAGCTAGTAAGCTAGTACTATACTAGCTAATACCGAGACATGCTGTATACACACATTTGCTCGAGGTTCCTCCTGCAGAACACGGCGGATGTAGTGCATAAGCTCATTCGCGAGAACACACAGTACAAAAGCAGCACACACCTGTACATATTATATACAATAATAGTACTAGTATTACAAGTACTAACCACCGACCCACAGTACTAGTACTGCTGCCGTACACACACACACACACCACACACCACACACACACACACACCCATACTGCTTACACTTACAGTACTTATATACAGTACCTACACTTGTACTTATACACACCAACGTGCAGGCACACACACACACACACACTTACACATACACACACAGGAAAGAAGACGGACATATATAAAATAATGTGACACAGTAAAGACAAATAACCCCGGCCCAGTACAGACATCGAGACAAAGTAAAAATCAGGTCGATATAGGTGTCGAAACCCTACGCATCGACGGCAAACCCAACCCATCAAGAGCGAGGTCGGGAAACCCCAGGCAAACCCAACCCATCAAGAGCGAGGTCGTGAAAGGCAAACCCAACCCATCAAGAGCGAGGTCGTCAAACCCCAGGCAAACCCAACCCATCGAGCTAATGCAAGTCGTACAATAATGCCGTTTCACTTGATGATCAATTGCAAAAACGTGTCATTAATCCTTCGAGATCGCCATACCCAAACCCATCAATAGGCATGGCTTAAACCCCTCCAAATCTCAAGTAACGTCTGGGCACAATGTGTCCGCTCAGCACAATTTTGCCCAAGTATCGCCTATGACGATACATGGAGCCTTTGGGTGTGGGCACTTCTGCCAGGTCATATCTTCGCCAGGTGGAGGCCTGGCGCAGGCTCACGTTTCTTCCCGCTCATCAGCAAGGCCTGGTACTCTACCGCCATTTGGCCGGGAAGGCCTGGGTGGCAGCCGAAGAGCTCAACGTGGACGCTCTTGGGCGAGATGACGGAGTCCATTACCTGATGAGCTGGCTTCGCAACCGCTACCTTGATTTGGAGGTGACCAGAATCGGCAAGGCCCTCTCGGAGATGTTCCGGAAACTTCGAAGGAAGCAGGGGCAGTCGATCAGGGACTCCAACGCCGAATATGACCGACTACACGCCAGGCTCAAGGAGGTCGGCTGCATGCTCCCTGAAGAGTGCTCTGCCTGGTTGTATGTTGACCGTCTTCAACTCGAGGAGGGGGCCGAGTTGAACCTTTTGGCCAGTGTTGGGAACATCTACTCCCTTGCGAAGCTGCAGAAGGCCGCGATCATCCAAGACCGCGCCCTCAGGAAACCCTGGGAGACCGGCGGTAAAGGGAATCGGAAGCCCTACACCGCCCACATGACGGAGACTGCCGATGACGATGAGGACGGCGATCACGACCTTGGCGGCCACGACGAGGACGAGGCGATCCCCGAGGAGGTCGCCGTGGCGTACATGACCTACCAGTCGGCCAAGAATAAGTACAAGGAGTTCAGCAAGGCTCGCGGGTTTCGCGGCGACATTGGCAGCAGTGGCAATGGGAACGGCAAACCGCCGGATGGAGAAGATCAACCTGCTGGGAAGTCTCGCGACGACAAGCTTCGACAGATCAAAGCGCGCTCCTTTTGCGCGGGGTGCGGGCGAAAAGGACATTGGCACAAGGATGATGAGTGTCCCAACAATGCCAACCGGAGCGGCAATGGTGGGAACAAGTCAGGCGGGGCGGTGAAGGAGGTGTGCGTGATCATGCCCGCCGAGGTCATGACCCTGAAGCACATCACCGGCACACTCCACGGCATCACCGATACCGCTTGCGCCCGCACCGTTGCAGGGACACACTGGCTGCAAGAGTATATGGACCGTCTCGGTAGTGATGTCGCCCAACCGGTCCTTACCAAGGAGTGCGAAGCTTACAAGTTCGGCACGGGGCGCATTCACTACTCGACGTTCAATGTGGTGCTTTCCTTTACCCTCGGTGACAAGCTCGTGCGACTCAGGACCTCAATCATCCCGGGAGACATACCTTTGCTGCTCAGCAAGACTGCGCTCGGCAAGCTGGGCATGATTTACGATGTCTCTGAGGGCTGCGCTGATTTCACCAAGGTCGGGCTGAAACAGTACAAGCTGTTGGCCACTCCGTCTGGCCACCCTGCAATCCCCATCGAGCCAGCGAAGCCGGCAGGTGGAAGCGGTGCCCTGTTGCCGATTGAGGACTTGAGCCTGGAGCCCCATGTGCAATACACGGTGCATGCTGTCAGCGTTGCTGGAAGTAATACCCGAACCCACTACAACCTCTACTATGACAAGAAGCTCCCCCCAGAAGATAAGCTCATGCTCACTAGCCCACAGCTTTGTCGTGAGAGTTTTCTTGTCTGGTGGAAGCGCAATGAGGTCAATGGGGACTTTTGGGTTGAAACCGAGGAGTCTTGGATCAGGGTACATGTCACTCCACGAAGGTCATTCTTTAATCCTGCTCTTTGGCAAACTACATCAACGGTCCTTAAAGAGATGCTACTGTCTACCCTGGGTGACTTCAGGCACAGCGAAGGTGTGTGTTGCAGCTCCGAACGATGGTTAGAAACAGTTGTTGATGCTTGGAAAAACGGTTCATCTCGCTCTGCATCCATGCCGCTGTTGTGGATTGGCAGAACCGTCTTTAACAAGAGAGCCCGACCTACCGTGACCTCGCCCTGTGTCGCTGATGGACTCGCCAGCATGCCACCAGGAGATCCCGATCAGCAAGATGACGAAGCCTCAGCTCCTCTCGGAGTGTGTCCGCTTGGGGTTGACCGTGCATCGCACGTGGAGCCCCGAAGAGATCAAGGCGATCATTGTTCAACACCGGGAGGCCATGAAGGAGACGGACGCGACGCTCAAGATGAAGAAGATCTCCGCGCTCACGCTCCCACAGCTGAAGGCGAAGGCCGACGAGCTCCAGGTGGCGTACGCGTCGAACATCACCAAGGGCAACCTCCTTCGACTCGTCCGCGACTCCCTCAACACCCCGGACAACGAGCTGATGAAGATAGGAAAACACCGTGGGATGGAGTTCCGCGAAGTCCCTTGGCAGTACGGGCGTTGGGCCAGCAACGAAGTGAAGACGAGCGGCAATGCAGACCCCGAGCTAGTGAGGTTCGCCCGCTGGTGGGATCAGAACGAGGAGAAGAAGAAGGGCGGCTACGTGAAGGAGCTGAACGAACCGTCCAGCGTGGCACCAATGCCGACGGCGGTGAGAGCGGCAACTTCGTCTTGGGAAGCGGTTACTTCTGTGTGTGGGAGGACTCTTGGGGTCACAACGAGACGCGGACCGTGGCCCAGACGATGGACCAGCTCCCGCATCCACCGGCTGTCTCGACGTCGAGTTCCAAGTGGAGGCCGGCGGAGGACAACAAGGAGGCGATGGACGACGAGATCGACCAGGACACCTTGGCGGAGATACAGAGGTTGGAGATGAAGCTGGCAGTGCTCAAGGACAAGGCCAGGACGCGGGGACAGGGCAATTAGATGGAGTTCACGGCGGACCTTGTGGACCGAAGAGTGGATGCTGTGGAGTTGGGACGCTCTTCGAGGACGTGCTCGAGGACAAAGGGCTCGTGAAGGCACTCGGCCATCAACACAGCGTGCTGGTTGCAGATCTCTCGCACCCGGGAGCCGTATCGCGCCCCGATCTTCCGCGAGGAGAGCAACTTGCAAAGGAAGCATATGATAATGGCCAGTTCACCTATGCCGTCCTCCAGCACATCCTTGAGAACTCCGATCTCAGGGCCCGACGCAATGATCGCGGCGATGCTTTCCCTGTCGACGACAAGGGCAAGCACGACTACTTCACCTTCGGCATGTTCACGCATGGTGGAGTCCAAGGCCTGACGAAGCTCACCATCGAGAAGCCCCACCTTTGTCGCTACTTGAACGCCTTCGCCACCCGGAAGCTTGACAAAGGCAGCGCTTGGACGTCTGTCACCATTGGACTGAATGTGAGGGCCGGCGTCCACCACGACTATAACAACCTTAGGGGCACCTCCAACTACACGTGCAGTTTTGGACAGACCAATGGTGGCGAACTATGGCTCGAAGACCGAGATCTACAGGAGCGAGATGTCGGTGGCGCAGGTGTGGTCTGGAAGCGCAATCCTGGAGGAGCTTGGCTACCCGGACGTATGACGAGCACCTTCGAGAACTTCGTGTCTTTCGATCCGCAGCACAAGCATGCATCCGGAGATTGGGAAGGGGATCGTTGGATAGCTACTTTCCACACCACCCGCGGGATCCTCAAGGCCAACAAGGATTGCACGAAGATCCTCAGGCGAGTCGGTTTCCCTGTGCCCCACCTGCGGGGGATTCCCGGAGAGCCTACATCCAAGAGGCCCCGGAAGAGTACCAGGACGACTTTGGCGAACACCGCTGGGAAGCTGAGTGTCCTCCTTACCACTTTCCTGGCCGCGGCGACCTCCTTCATTGCCGAGGCCCTTCCAGTCGTCGAGGCCGACCCCATTGTGATGTTCGAGATTGGAGGAGTTGAGGGAACCTTCGAAGCGGCAGAGCTCGGCAAAGCAGTTATTGAACAGATGCCATGGGGAAATTACGACGAGGAGGACCGCCGCATCGACGCCTACCACTTTGTCGTCGGCGCTACGCCGCGCCAACTGAGGATCAACCTCTATGGGATGCCCGAGAGACATGTGAATTCGGTCGCTGCACTGGCGAAAGCGCAGATCGAGACAGGAGGTGAGGTCGTCTTCAAAGGGGAAATCAATGAGCACATCGCTCAACAGCTTGCCCAAGAAGGTCTTTGGCAATTCGTTGATCCAGAAGGAGTTCGTTGGGCAGGATATGGACGCCGAAAGCCAGGAACTCGCGAAGTTGACCTTGATCTACGACCACATCATGTTTATGTTCTTGGCGAAGGAGACGAACCCGGCGAACATCATCGAGAACCCCGCCACGACGGCAGTGCGATCTCCTTCGAAGACGGCGTGAGCCCCTTGATCCAGAGTTCCCTTCGGCGACTACACCAAAACCTTGGGCACCCAAAGAAGGACGATCTTGTACGGCATCTACGTTTGGCAGGATGCGAAGAGGCAGTGCTGAAAGCAGCCAAAGGGATGCGCTGTCAAGTTTGTGACAGCACTTCAGGACCGCGCATAGCGCGCCCCAGCGCTACCCCAAGGATGTACGACTTCAATGACTGCGTCGGGGTAGACCTTTTACGTCACCATGATGTCGATGACAATCGCCATACCTTCCTTTCGATGGTCGATTGGGGGACCTCCTACCACATTGTGATTCCCCTTGCAGGCTTTGACAACGAGGACATCGAGAAGGTCTTCAACGACCACTGGGTCACTCCTTTCGGTCCGCCAAGGACTGTGTCCCTCGACCTTGACGGGGCTGTTCAGAAGGGCATCTGTCGTCTTTGTGACTGGCATGGGATCGGGATCAAGAACGTCGCGGCGCAAGCCCATTGGCAGGCCGGCATCACAGAACGGCAAGGTGTTTGGTGGAAGAACATATGGGACCGTGTCCGGCATGAGCTCTCCATCACACGTGAAGAGGTCGGCATTGCAGCCAGTATGGTCTCCAGCGCAAAGAATGAACTACGGCGCCGCTGTGGACATTCGCCCACGGAGTGGGTGTTTGGACGTCATCCACGACTACCTGAAGGCCTGATCGACCCCGACAGCGGTGAGAAGATTACGTGGGACGTCTCACACGAGAGCCGGTACCAAAGAACAGTGGCGATTCGCGCCGCCGCTCGTTTGGCATTTCACCACTCTCAAGGAGACAGTCGCCTTCGAAAAGCACTACTACAACGTGCCAGGACTACAACCAGGCCGATCGAGACCGGGGAGACCGTCCACTTTTGGGACCAACCCAAGAACAGAAGGCGAGGGCGCTGGGCAGGACCAGCAGTAGTCGTCGGGAGAGAAGGCAATAACGACTGGATCTCTCGAAATGGGCGCTGCAGGCTGACAGCGCCAGAACACTTGAGGCCATCCGGGCCTGAAGAAGTTGGAGAATATACCTACGCGTTCGAGGAGCTCAAGTCGAGGTGGAAAAGTTGCTCGAGATGGACTTCGACGCAGAGGACACCTATGACCCAGACCAACTCGCCCCAGAAGAAGACGACATCGACCTGGAGTACGACTGTGCCGCCGCTGCAGATGACCACCTCTCCGACTACGAGCCCTCCGACGACGAGATCATGGAACCTCCGGTACTACCACCTCCCAGGCCACCCGACAGGAGGCTCAAGCGCAAAACTCGACCCGCCGATGCCGACGACGACCTGGAAGTTCACGAAGCCCTCTTCTCCAAGAAGGAACTCACGAAACGTGGCATGGAGAAGAGGCAGGAGAAGGAGCTCAAGTGGTCTGAGATACCGGCCAATGCACGGGCCGACTTCAAGGCCGCTGAGGAAACTCAGTGGAAAGAGCATCTTTCTTTTGATGCTCTGGAGCCCCTTGACCTAGAAGAAAGTGCGCGAGTTCGAAGGAAAGTGGATCCGAGCCGGATACTCAGATCACGCTGGGCCTACAAGGACAAAAACTGGTCGAAGCGGCGTGCCGATGCAGACACGCCTTGGGAGTGCAAAGCGCGGCTGGTGATAGCGGGCCATACCGACCCGGACTTGGCCAATGGATTGTCAACGGATGCGCCTACTTTGTCTCGTCCTGCTTTGATGTGCCTCCTTCAGAGACTGGCGAACGGGCTTCGGGACGAAGACCCGTGGCGAGCAAGCGCGGGGGACATCCGCTGCGCGTTCCTCACTGGCGGCTACTTGAAGCACGAGGAGGAGCTGTACCTTCACCAGCCCTCCACCGGTTTCGCTGGACTGCACCCCGATCAACTCGTCAAGGTGAAGAAAAACATATTCGGGCTCGCAACGAGCCCGCATGAGTGGTGGCACGATCTACAAGCTGGAATGAAGGGGGTCAACAGTTCGTCAAGGAGATAAGAGTTACATCTTCGATCAATGCGACTTGGACCCGTGCGTCTTCATCCTCAAGGAGGTCGTGGACGGGAAGATCGTTGGACCCCCAGTTGGGTATGTTGGCAGCCATGTAGATGACCTGCTGGTGATCGCCCCGAGGTCAATCGGAGATCTCATCAAGCAGGAGCTCTCGAAGGTTTTTCCTGTCGATTCTTGGGAAGAAGACGAGTTTGCCTACCTCGGGTCAGAGATCGTGTGCTACGACGACAGCGTCCTCTTCCGCCAGAAGCCCTACATCGAGAACCGCCTGTTCACGGTCGACATCCCGAAGGGTGTGGCGGACGAAGAGTTGGCCGGACCTGACACCATCGCTGACAACCGGAGTCTAGTCGGTGCCCTTAGCTGAATCTCGGCCCAGTCACGTCCAGACCTGACGTGTTCGGTGTCGATGGCACAGCAGCTCCAGAAGAGCCCAACCTACGGAGACGTGAAGTTCACCAACGGTGTATCGGCGAGAGCTGTTGACTACCGAGATGAGGGACTTGTGTTCAAGAAGGTCAACGACGAGGGCGCCGTCATCCTCATCTACCACGATGCCGCTTGGGCAAACGCCTACGACCTACGAAGCAGACTACGACGAGGAGGGATTCGAGCTCTACCCCGAGGACAAGACGAGTGGCTTGCAGTTGCACGGGCCACCCTCCCACAAGGCCGGGCGCAGAGCAAAGAAAGGAAACTCACGAGTTGCCTCGCAGCTCGGGGAGCTTGTTCTGGTTGCCGAAAAGCAGTGCATCTGTGGGGGCAGCGGGACAGCTTCTATCTTGGATTGGAAGTCCAGGGCTGGGCAACGAGTTTGCCGAAGCACGTTCAGCGCGGAGACGCAGGCCTGCGTGGAAGGCCTTGAAGGCGGACAATATGTCCGCGCCATGTACGAGGCCATCCTCACTGGGAAGATGACCAAGGTCGAGGATGCGAAGCTACCTCTCGTGTGCCTGAGCGACTGCCGGTCGCTCTACGACCACCTACACCGGGAAGGAGTCCCACGGACGCCCGCAGACCGGCGTCTGGCCATCGACCTGGCCGCACTCCGACAGAACCTCAAGTCCGAGAGTTGGAGCGGAAAGCTTCCGCTGGCCGCTGGCGTGGATACCGAGTGAGATGCAACTGAGCGACGTTTTGACCAAACCCCAGGACTCAAAGTGCTGGTGGGGAATGATCAAGAATAAGCTGACGATACCGATCTCAGTTGCTAGAGATGTTGGCGAAGTCAACAGAGTTTTACAAGAAGGGAGGAAGACCAGTGTGAAGCCCAGAGTTAGTTTTCTGAATACTTCGTATGATCATTGCAGTCGTGTTAATCTGTAACCACCGAAGGGCTTCAACACTTGGCATCCCCGGCATCTTTTGCACAGGCCGACTTCCGCAAGGCATTTGGTCCGAGTGAAAAGACGTGCCTCATGGAGGCAGGGCCCGTTGGCTGTAGCCGGGGTTCGTGTTTTTGGGTAGCTTTCCCTTTAGTGTCAAATTTACTGTTGACAGCTTCGTTGAGTCGGTTTCGCTTCGTTCTTTTTTTGATTGAGTGCTGTTCGTCCTCGTCAAAGTATAACAGTTTCCCACAGTCACAATGTCGGCGCTGAGTACCTCACCTCGCATGAAAACAACCTGCTGATTCCCAGGAAATGAAAGATGACTTTCCCACGTGATTTCACAATTGAAAAGGATCCCTGGAAACGAGGACCCTGAAAACAGAACCTTTGACTTCACGGACTCGTCGGAATTTTGTGGCTCTGTAACTGGTTCTTGTCTTTAACAGTCTTGAACCTACAGTGTTGTAGCATTCTTGCAGAAGCCAATTCCTGATTCATTTTATCATGCACGGACCTCAGGCACCTGCCAGTTTAGGAAGGCCATGGCGTGGACTTGGTCGCTGCAAGCCTCCTTGGGCACTAAATTTCCCGTAGAAGTATGGGATCAGATTACCGCCTTCTCAGACCCGCGTGGGCAAAGCCTCAGTATGCCCACTGCACCCAGATCATATCCAAAGCTCGTTGGCTTTCTGACTCCAGGTAGTCTGTATCAAAAGAAATCTTTCCGTTTTAGTAAGTACGTTTTCGTGTCTGACTTCGTGGTCATCCATAACCTAATGCACGCGAGAATGGAAATCCATCGCTTCAAGCATGCACTCTTTGTGGTATGCGGCGGATATGAACATTATCTCCGACTGGATGAGTGGCGGCTATGGAGAGTGACGTATGCAAAGCTCTAGAAGAGTGTATGTGCAAGAAATCCTTGCCAACATCTCTAAGAACGTGCAGGGTGTGTCGATCCTTGACACAAAGACTGCACTTGCATACCGCTGTTTGTCGTCTTGGAAAAATGCGTAAACTTGCATGCATGTTGCGCGTGTACTAGTGTACCTACAATGTTTACATGCAGCAGTATGGGCACTGAGATTAACATGTGAGAGAGGGAGAGCAGACATATTTCAACACACATAACATAATATCTTGATAAATGCATACATAAAACTGAACCTTGTTTTTTACTAGTCTGTCAAGAGGCGTGGAGAGTGTAAATAGTGTACGTGAACACAAAATCCATAGGTATATACAGGGGTCCCCGGCTCTAACCCAGAACGATGTGAAGACAGGCATGAGTCCGGCATGAGCAATGACGTGGCCGAGGTTGGCCCAGGGGGTACCATACGCACATATTTACATATGCACATACATATACATATACATATACATAATATACATAATATACATAATATACATAATATACATAATATACATAATATACATAATATACATAATATACATAATATACATAATATACATAATATACATAATATACATAATATACATAATATACATAATATACATAATATACATATACATATACATATACATATGCAGATGCAGATGCAGATGCACATGTATATATATATATATATATATATATATGGTCGCCCCCCCCGTTGACAGACCATGCCCTTTCAAGTGAGTCGTAGTGCATGGTCTGTCATCGGATGGGTGACAATCAGCCCACCCAAAATCAATTCAACAAATTTCTGTGCGTGTGTGTGCCTGTGTGCCTGTCTGCGCGAGCGTGTGCATGCGTGCGTGCGTGCGTGTGTGTGTGTGTGTCGTCTGTGTTGTGTGTGTGTGTGCGTGCACCTTCTGACAGCCTCTGCCAGCGAAGTTCTGCTCCAGTGATCAGGAAACAGAGTCAAATAGAGTATAATAGAGTGAGGACGCTCGCCCTACGTACTTGCAGTGGCGATGATGATGATCATCATCATCGTCGAAAAGACTTTGAACTCAATAACTCAATCGTGGAAGAGATGAGCTCTAACAAGTCACTGATTCAGACAATGATAGACAATAGTGCTCGAGAGCGAGGTAGCGATCCCGCACAAACAGCATCCACTTAAGTACCTAAAGATGACTGGTCTGTAAGTGCGTGCGAGGCGCGTGCGGTGTGTGTGTGTGTGTGCTATCTATCTGTGTGTGTGTGTGTGCGTGTGCGTGTGTGCTCTGTCTGTGTGTGTGTGTGTGTGTGTCCTTGTGTGTGTGTGGGTGTGGGTGTGGGTGTGGGTGTGGGTGTTGGGTGGGTATTCGGTTGGGATTGATTGCCTTTGTTTGCGTTTGCGTGTGCTTGCTTTTGACAGTGCAGTCCTGGCTGCTTTGTTGCTGATGTTCGCTGTCGGTTTATGTATCGGTTGGAGGATGTTCTGTAGCAACATCATTGCCACGCAGATTTGCTCGTTTCACAAGTGCCGCCTTCTGGGATGATCGTTTCTCTACCCTACCCTTTCTTATTCAGTTCTTCTTCTTCTGTTGTGTGGATTTGTGTGGTAACTAGGGTTGGAAACCGATATCGGAGGCGCAGCGAATCATGGTAGAAACAATAACAAGCCTCATTCCAGCATCGCACGTGTCGCCACTTAGAAGCAAACCGATAGTTGCAAGTAGTGGATGCAAGGGTTCACCGCCAACTCCAACAGTTAACTTAAATTTGTCGACGAAACGAAAAACTGACAGATGTGTAGAGTCGAGGTACTGAGGCAAAGTTTGCTTTTAAGATTTGTTTACGATTTTCGCCTCGTGTCGGCCCTAGCCCAGCTTCACGGTCGTGTCTTCAGTACCAGTCAGTACCAGTACTGCTGATAGCACCAAGTGTTTTTTTGGGTGGTGGTCGATTACAATATAGCCGCTTGTACCGTACCCGAGGATTGTTTTGAAGAGTGGCATTTCGCGACGCAGCTGTTGTTGCTGCTGCCGTTGCAGGCTGAGCTCTCTTCAAAGCTCTAAACCTTGTATGAATGCGTCTTTACCATGTCTTTCCGGAGCCTTGTTAATTTCGCGAGCTTTACATTTGTGAGGCGCCCACCTGTTACCGAGCCAGCGCAGCTGCAAGGAGTTTGCTCGACGAGTGTCTATGGACAACGTTGCTTAGTCGACCAGTAGCCTGCTTCCTACAATTCGATATCCGTGAAACTTGAGACGAGGTTTGGAAGACATTTGCGTGGAAGTCGCGGCAGAAGACCCGAAGCCGAAGCCACATCTGACGAAGTCCATCTCGCAAAATCTCAGCCCAAAGCAGGCAATCCCGGCTGCATAGTGGGACACGATTGGGACATATGCTCGACGTTGCAACTTCAAGGCACCCTTCGCCTTGCCGGTCGGACAAAAGCACCACACTTCGTATCGCACTCGGCTGCTGTCATGCTGCGGTCATTTCCCACAAATCAGCCAAGGTCTTAAGGGTCATATCATGAGAGCTTGCAGCCCGCTTGCAGCTGGCTTGCAGCTCGACATCGAAGGATTTCTGTGTGAGAGACAGCCTGATGCTTGAGATCGCTTGGAACTCGGGCTGGCTTTTACTGACCGAGCACTGCTACGCGAAGTGGGAGCAGTGTTGAGTCAAGTTGAACTCACGACCACGACAGTTTACAGCATGTTCTGGCGGTATGCTGTGTGGATGCGCACCGAAAAAGGCAAGATCGACGGCAGGCATGCTGCTTTGGATGTTCGCGAGTTCAAACACCACTATGTGTAATGTGGGGTGGATGGATCGGCTTCTCCAGTTGTCCTTTTCTCCCACCCCCTCTCTCTCTCTCTCTCTCTCTCTCTCTCTCTCTCTCTCTCTCTCTCTCTCTCTCTAGCACACGAGATCCAAAGAAATGGTGAAGATTCCAAAAGGTCGCAAGTATTCGTAAGTTGAGTGCTTTCCGCAGTTTCCAGATCAAAGTCGAATCAATGATTCAGTCCCTTTTGGCTTGCCCGCAGTTGCCCCAAAGTGTTGCACTATGGTACTGCAAAGGGCGGCGTAGGTTGCACTCAGGCAAGATTCCGGGCATGTCCGCCAGGGCCTGGTCCGGCCCTTTAATGTTCCGCATTGCGGCGAGTGCTGCCGCGGGCACCGGTGTCAGGCCCAAAGGTCGAGGAAAGGGCCACCAGGAGCTCCTGAAGCAATGCCGTTGGTATGTGTTTCAGCTTCCTGAGCAGTGCCCACAGACGTGAGGATAAAGACTTCCACCGCCGGGATCTCGTGATTGTAAGACTGCAAGCGTCCTCGGCTGAAGACTTCGATGCGACCGAGGAAGGCGAAGCAAAGGCCACAAGGAGGCAACGCACAAAAAACGATCGCGGGACATTCTTACTCTGGGCGCTCTGGCGCTCTGGCGGAGGACTCTGACACGAGCTCCAATGTCGACGGCTCCAAGCCCAAGCCGGGGAGCCGAGCCCAGCGAGTGTACGGCCGTAGACCGGTCACGAAAACTCGCAGCTAGGACCCAAGGGCAGGAGCTTGAGAATGACCAGCTCCAGCCTTGGCAGACGTGGCGATCCAGGGCCAATCGGCTTTTCATGGCTTTGGCTTTGGCCGATTGGCCTCAGGTGGAGATCCTCCAACTGGTCGGGTGCCCAGCCGGGCCCAGCCAGCAGCTCAGTGCCATCCCACACGCGGTGTGCCCAGGACAGACCTCCCAGAAGGATGGCAAGTGACTGAGTGCCCCATGTGAGTAGGAGGAGTCCGCTTTTCCAGCTGGCATGCAGTCGCTTGTAGCATATTAAACTGAGCCAAAAAAGCCACCAAAACAGTTTCCGGCGGACTATTCATGCCACGAACACACTGTCTCTCACTCTTGATCCTGTGCAGGAACCAGCTTCAATCCCGAACCCCTGTGCTCTGCGCGTGAACTGCCACGTGCATCCGCAAAGGAACACGGACGAGTTGCCGGTAGAAGACTGGCCTTGTGCTTGCTCATCTCACTGATGTTTCCCCTCCATGTGCCATGGATTGTTCTAAGGCCTTCCCCTGTGCCATGGCCGCCCCAGGACTGCTTTATAGAGTCCTGCAATGTGGTCAACACACGAGCCCGTGTAGGATCCAGCTTGGTGGGCCGACCTGGCCTCACAGCTTCCTGCTGCTTGGGGAACAGGAGTTGGGGCTCCAAGTGCAAAAAGTGCCTATCTGAAAGATCTCCAAGTGCTCACTCTTTGGCTGCAAAGGCTATTTCATCTGCAAGGCCGGTCAATATGCATAGTTTGTCGCGCTTATTGGCAGCATGTCAATGTCGAACGGGCAATGACGGGCAGCTGGCGCGGAACGTGGTTCGCAGGGTGAAGGGCCTGGAAGCCATTTTGTCGCCATTCTCGGAGGTGGGAGTTGCATTTGATGCAGACAACGTAGAAGCAAAGAGGTGGCGTGTCTTTGAGCAAGCGGTGTTTGATTTGTCGTAGCGCGCAAGGGGCCCGGCGGCACCGAGTCGGACTTCGACGGCCGGGCAGAGATTCAATGTGGCGGCTTATCCGTTTACTGGTTTGGACACATGTCCCAACAATGCCACCAGTCTGTGGTTTGCCTCCCTGTGCAAGCAAGCACACCAGCTCATGTTGCATGAGCCCATGCATTCACAAACAAACCTGCTCTCTTTCTCATGCCCACACATGAAGCGCATGAATGTAAAGGGATGTGTTTGCATCAAGATTTGCCCCACCTGCAGTCGAATGCACAGGCATGCCAGGGCAGATGCGCTATGCATGGCATGCAACATATACAAAACATGCAGAAGTGTGCAAACAACCGCGTGATCAGGCATACAGTAGCAGACGTTTCAAGCGACACACCCACTCAAGGAGGCCAATCAAGCCAACCAGCCAGCCCGCCCAAGCTACAACATCATGCAGATATCAAGGCGACGCAAACAAGAAATCAACACACAGACTTCGGCAAACATTGAGAGAAAGACCAAGGCCAGAAGCAGCAGGCACGACAGTCACGACCGTCACGACCAGCACCACCGCCGCCAACAACAACAACAACAACAAAAGCAACCAGACCACTAACTTTTGTAACGCCAGAGCATATAATTTCGCATAACATGGTACAGTCTTATAGCAATGCATGGTATAAGTCTGGCCTTTGCACCATGGCCGACTCGTGCACATTTCGAGGCATGTGCTCCACCCCAGACCCCACTTCTGTGGATCTTGCACAGCATGTGCACCCAACAAAGACACTTGACACATGTGCGGACACACACTCACAGGCGCAATCGAAAGAGCAAACATGCGAGCAATGACGGAGACCATGTATCGCTAGCAGCGCAGGCAAAGTGCGCCACATATTCCGTCAGACATGCCGACAAACGAAGCGCTATCCGACAGCTGACAGGTCTCCAGCCGGATCCTGCAATCAGCCCAGATGCGTCAGCATCTCAAGCCTGTCTCAAGTGCTTCGGTGGGAGCTGAGTGTCTTGAAACCGGCGCTGACATGGGCGAGGTTTCCGGCCGATCCGACAACGCTCTGGGGGTACGCCAACGCGTGGCCCTTGGAGCAGTGCAGTCGAGTTTGGTCTTGCGACATCTTGCGACTTCTTTACACGCGTGCTTTCTACCTGCGAAGGCGGTACCAGTAAGCCGTGTCACCGAAGCTAAAATCACAGCTTTGCAGGACGGCTCTGCAAGGAAGCTCGGCGGAAGACAGTGGGCGACCTGCTCAGACGGGAGAAATGGAGACAGAGAGAGAGGTTGCACAATTCCTTGTCCGAATGCAAGCAGGCAAAAGACAGAGCGAGAGAGAGAGAGAGAGAGAGCTGCACTCCGTGCGTTTTCACGCCCCGCCGAAAGCCCCGTAACAAGCGGGGGGCCCAAGAGGCCGGGGGGCCTGACCAGCCCCTTAAGCCCTGCAGAAGAAGAAGAAGAAGAGAGCTGCCCTGAGGAAGAAGAAGAAGAAGAGGGAGACAGAGATAGTGGACTACAGGTGCGCGTTCGCGCGCGAGGGAAGGGGTGTCCGGTGTCCGCCCTTTCCTTCCTGCCCTCGAGAGAGAGAGCCAGATCAAAGAGCCGAATTCCGTGTTTGCCTTGACGCTGGGATGTTCGACAGTCAGCAAAGCTTCGCGAGTCTCCAGGCTGGTTGGCCTCCCCAATGACCAATGACCTGCATGCTTTAGCCCCTGCAAGAGCCGCTGCCCGACAGTGGCCCGACACCAGAGACCATGGTCTTGCGTAGCAGACGTTGCGTTCTCGAAGCTTGTGCGCTTGTCTGGCCTGCATGATGTGCCATTCGTAGGTCGCAAGATCCCTTCACAACGAAGTCAGAAACAAGTGCTGTAATCCGACGATCCCCGCGCGGGGTGGAAGAGATGTTTGTGTGGATCGAGTTTGTCATGTGCATACACTTACATACTCCTTCCAGTGTGGATGCAGGATGCAAGGGCTAAGTAAACAAAGCATACAACAGCTGTTTCGCAGAAGCCCTTCTTCCAGGTGGCCAGAGAATCGAACGGATATGAGAGAACAGGAGACGTTGGCTTGGTTCGTGTCCGAGCCAGAGCCGGGAAATGCAGCAATTCTCTTCGGCCGCTGAGGGAGATAATTCGGCTGTAACTGTTTGGAAGAAGCTTCGAGACAGCTCTCAGCTTTCATGCCAGGTTCTCGCAGAAGAGAGGCTGGATCGCACATCGCGATGTTCAACATTTGGTCGCGCTTTGGATGTGTTACTTATGCAGGCCGCCATGTGAAGCATCCCCTACAGATGACTTCGTCTCGGCAGAAGTGCTTCTTGGACGCTGGGTGGATTCGCAGGCTTGCAGTGGAGGCATTCCGCTTGCTCGCTGAAACTGCATCCGCTGTCTTGCGAGGGCCACTCTATTCACGTCCTTTCCACGGACGCATTCAATGTTCGGCTGCCGGGCCCCTGCCGTGCCAGCATGGCTGTTCAGTACGGACTACCCGGCCGAGGCTCGCGACATTGAGAAAGACGATGTGTCCGGACAAGCATCTGGCATTGAAGCCAATCAGGCATCGTGAGCCCTTCCGCCCCTTCCAACGCCCGACATGGTCAGACATTTTGGGAATGCTGCGGTATCTGCACTGCAGGGGCACACGGCGCCCTCCCTCCCTCTCCTCCCTCCGTCCCTCTCTCCCTCTTTCTCTCTCTCGCTCTCTCTCGCTCTCTCTCGCTCTCTCTCGCTCTCTCTCCCTCTCTCCCTCTCTCTCTCTCTCTCTCTCTCTCTCTCTCTCTCTCTCTCTCTCTCTCTCTCTCTCTCTCTCTCTCTCTCTCTCTCTCTCCCTCTTGCTTGAGAGGCTGATGCAGTGCTGTGTGACGAGTGAAGTGTGGGTCATTCATGTAAAACTCGCAAAACAAAGGCTCCTAGGTCCTAGGGCTTAGCTCTTGGTCACTGGGACGGGTCACCCGCTTGGCCTCACAACCGGCAGAATATAAAGCAATACATACATGAATAGACAAGTACGTAAACAGGAACAAAAGCATAGATGAAGAGCTGGATGCATAGACCAATAATCATATTTGCGCACACACACACACACCTTCAGTTGTGTGTGCAAAGGTTTGCATTTGCGGAATCTGGATGGTTCGCTTGCGAGGCTGGGTGGAGGGTGGCAGTGCGGGCACTCGATCCTGGATCCTTCCTGGACTGGGTTGTGTTGGTGCAGAGGCTGAAGGTCTAGTGAGTTTAGTCTATGCCAACATCGTAAATTTGCTTCTGTTTGTCGAGGCCGTCGAGTTCGCCAAGGCGTTCCTCTGTGAGCTCACTTTGGTGATGTCCCGCCAGGAGTACCTCAGCGCAGCTCCACTGGGTTGCGCTCGTCTCGGCTGTCCTCAACATAGAATCTCATGACACCTGTTCGAAAACGCAGGCGGGGGACGGCCACGTCACCGTGTGGGTACGACCCCCGCAGGCCACAAATGCTGACAATTTCAACGCACTTGTCCTTGCCTTTGTTTGTCACAGTGGAACTTGCTAGGCGAAGGGCAAAGAGAAGCCGCAGGACAATTGACAAGCATCCCAGGGTCCCACCGTGGAGAATTTAATTAGGAAACTAGTAAACCCCAGTGCAGATTGATCAGGATGTGGAGGTGCAGGCAGCTGCCAAGATGTTTCATATCCTGAGGCCTTAGGCTCACTTGTGAAGTCGTTTCTGCTGCAGGCCTCCGAGACATCCTCCTAAATCTAAAGTTCGGAGGATGTTGATTGAAAGCACGGGCCTCAGGAAGCATCCTTCAGAAGCCTTTGCTGACTGTGATTTGAGACACGAAGCTGGTAAGTACGACTGTTCACCAAAGCAATGTCTGCCTTTCGATATGCTCTGTCTTACAACCTGCTCACGAAACTGCTGCCGTGGGACTCCGCAATTCCAGGCTCTCTTGACTGCAACGTGCTGAAAGCAGTTGCGTTGTGCCGTGCTTAAGTTGCGAGTCGTCCAGGTAGATTGGCCCATGCTATAGGTCCAAGTCCACCCAGGTTTTCCAACCAAGCAAAGTGACCGGGCCAGGTTTCAGTTTTAGGCCTTTATGCTCAAAGCGCAAGGTGCGCAAGGTACAGAGGTTTCTGGATCTCAGCATCCTCGAACAATTTTATGCCTGCAGCTGCGGAGCACAGACAGCCGACTACATCTGGTTTTCCTGCGGAACTGGACAGTCTAGTACACTAAGCATGCGAAGCTAGGGGCTGTTATCTCGGATGCTGCGAAGTGCAGATGTGCTGTTTCACATGACCGGCTGCTTGAAATTTGCATGCCTTCCCAAATCTCAACAGACCGCCAGCAAGTGCTGCTTGTGTATACTCGTCAGGCGATGCAGTCGCAAAGCTGGACCATGATCAGAGTTCTTGTCTGTTGTTGCTGTTCCCAGCGCACTGTTGTGTGGGCACCAGTTCAGCTGCCAGTGCACGCAGTCTGTCTACTGCAAGTAAAATACAAATTGCCATCTATACAGTTTGCATCCTCCCGCAGTTTGCCTCGTCCGGTCGAGGGGAGGCTCGCCCCATGAGCATTAGAGATCGCAGAGATTCTCATGCGCTCAGCTGATTTTCTCATTTGCTCGAAGGGTTTCCTGCTCGCCTTGAATCCGTCTTGGGATGCTACTAGTGAGGCTGAGAAGTGACCTTGGATGATGACTCCTGCGCCATGGGGAAGTTGTTTGGCTTTGGGGCAAAGCTCGACGAAGTCGAGTAGATCTTGAGTGTAGGTGCCGTTGTCGCTTGGGGATGTTTGGGGATTCCATCGTCATGCCCGAGGCATCCATGGAATGGAACCCACAATGAGGATGTCGGAAGCGGAGGGAAGGCGTACGAAATGCCGAGTCGATGACACAACATGTAGCTCTTAGAGCAAAACAAGGTAGCCGGCTGACTTGCCGCCTCGTGTTTTTTACACTTTCCAGAGACCTAGAAAGTGCTGTAATTTTAAACGATTCGCGTCGTCCACCTCGGCCCGGCCGTATTTGAAGCAGGTGCATTGTTTCGGAAAGCAGCGGGTTAGTTGCACAGTTGAGGTCTTGAGTGAATGAGCACATTTGCATCAGAATGTCTTTAAATGACAGAACTTTTTTGAAGCATTGAGGCTCATGCTAATTACATGGAATATCAAACAAACAAGCCGGTGGATGACACTATGCGCTCATGACAAGTAAATGCCTCGCCGCAAAGACAAAAGAGAAGCGTTTGGTGAGTGCGTGCGGGCGTGCGGGCGTGCGGGCGTGCGGGCGTGGGGGCGTGCGTATGTGCGTACGTGCGTGGGTGGGTGGGTGGTTGGGGGTTTGGGGGTTTGGGGGTTTGGGGGTTTGGGGGTTGGGTGGGTTGGTGGGTGGTGGGTGGGGGGTTTGGGGTTTGGGGTTTTGGTTTGGGTTGGGGGTGGTGGGTGGGTGGGTGGGTTGGGTGTGGGTTGGGGGGGTGGGGGGGGTGGGGGGTGGGTGGGGGGGTGTGGTGTGGGTGGGGTGTGGGTGGTGTGGGGGGTGTGTGGGTGTGGTGGGTGGGCGGGTGGGTGTGTGTGTGTGTGTGTGTGTGTGTGTGTGTGTGTGTGTGTGTGTGTTGTGTGTGTTTGTGTGTGTGGGATTGTGTGTGTGTGTGTATGCGATTGTATGCGTGGGTGTGCGTGTGCGTGCGTGGCGTGTGCGTGTGCGTGTGCTTGTGAGTGTGAGTGTGCGTGTGCGTGTGCTTGTGCGTGTGCGCGTGCGCGTGCAGGTGCGTGTGGGTGTGGGAGGTGGGAGGTGGGAGGTGGGAGGTGGGAGGTGGGAGGCGGGAGGCGGGAGGCGGGAGTGCGGGTGTGGGTGGGGGTGTGGGTGTGGGTGTGGGTGTGGGTGTGGGTGTGGGTGTGGGTGTGGGTGTGGGTGTGGGTGTGGGTGTGGGTGTGGGTGTGGGTGTGTGTGGGTGGGGTGTGGGTGGGGTGTGGGTGGTGTGGGTGGTGTGGGTGGTGTGGGTGGTGTGGGTGGTGTGGGTGGTGTGGGTGGTGTGGGTGGTGTGGGTGTGGGTGGTGGGTGTGTGTGTGTGGGTGTGTGGGTGTGTGTGGGGAACCCAAACTACTACGGGACAGTGCAGGTGAGAATTGCAGGTTGAGACCTAGAGAGTGATCGTGCAGGGGGACAGTGGACATTCTGGAAGGCACTGTCCAACGAAGACCTTTCCAGTTTGTCGTGAAATGGATTGAGGACGCTCAATCCACGTACCTGCCAATGTGTTTGTGACATCCTTTGCAGTACAAGCCGTGCAATGCTACATTCTTCACATACTCGCTGTGCAATGCTTCAGGACCCTTGGCTTTTTCTTCTTTAGTAAACATCAGCAAGGAAACCAGAGCCTATTGAAGCCCCACCGGCAACGCTTTCTTTGAAGTTTTCTCATCGGAGTCATTGAACTCGCTGATGAGTCGGAATTGACCATGAGTGAACATGCAACCAGCGAGACTGGGTGTTCAAGTGTGAATCGGGCATGGCCTTATCCGTCACGGCGCCATTACCGCTGCTCTCGAGGCAGTATCCCTTGAAACAGTGCCCCGAGTGGGACGCGTGATCCTTGGCTAGGTTCCTAAGAGACCTCAAACATCAACAGACTGCAAGGCAATGTCTTGAATCCGGAAAGCACATGCTGATCAAGAGGACCAGCGCAATCAGCTTGAAGTCTCAATGTCTTGAAATACGCTTGAAGTGCACACATGTCCATGCTAAGCTTTTTGTCTAATTTACTTGTAGAAGTGCAGTGCATGACCCTCGTCTTTAAGCAGTTTTTGGTTTGTTTTGTCTTGGTTCGTTTCGTTTCCTTTTGGTTACGGTCGGTTTTGTTTCTTGTAAGTAGTCCTTAGCAGCTGCGCCCCACTGCCATGGAGATTAACATCCAGATCAAGAATGCGCAGCCCGAAGACTTACTGCAGGCGTTTGCAGCACTAAGTGGAGGAGCAGCATCCTCAACGACAGCGGCACCTCCAACCTCAGATCAAGAGAGACCGCCATTGAAAAGAATTCGCAAAGAAGCCCGCACAACGACGGCTGCCACGAGGAGATCCCCGAGCTTATTATTCAGTCAACAGGAGCTCCAGGCACTGCAGGCGGCGAACCCACACGGAACAACGCAGGACTCCACAGCCGAGGATACCGAGCAGAGTGCAGTTGGATCTGGTGCAAAGGCAAAGCGAAAAGCTCAGCCATTCTCGGCGTTCCGCAAGCATGAGGGACGCACTATGTCCCCCCGTCCCTACTTTCAGCGAAGCGACCAACTTGGAGCAGGAGAAGCCCCGCCTACGCCAAAGCCGTCATCTTCGTCGGGATTGCCCGCGCTACCACCGGTGCCATTACAAACAACGGCAAGCACAAGACCCGCCAGACCGCTGCTGGTCAAAAAGAGAGCCATGGACTCCAGATCTCCAAGACGCAGTCCCTCACGAAGGAGCCCTAGCGACTCAAGGACCACCAGACCGCGGGCGATATTAAGATCCAGATCGCGCACTCCCATGACAAGATCCAGATCTCGCGCTCCCAGGACAACATCCAGATCGTACGCTCCCAGGACAACATCCAGATCTCATTCCCCCAGGACAACGCAGAGATCCAGGGCATCGGGCCTCAGCAACACAGGTATTTTGGCAACACCAAAGACACAGTCGCAGCGACCCAAGATCGACCTCAAGCTGTATGAAACTCCGCGGATGCCTTCAACCATTACATTCCACAAGAACCTTAGGCAGTTCAAGGTCAACTGGAAGGACATTGAGATTCCACAGTTTCCCATACACGATTCCACCAAGCAGTACGTGGATGCACTTTGCGCTGCAGCGGAGTTCAGGATCGACCAGGGAGTTCTCTTGGAGCATGACCTCACGTGGGACAGAGGAGGCGACCCAACTCCAGAGACAATGAGAAGATTCTATTTCTTGCAATCTTCAGACCTCACCCTGCAAAATCCTCCTCTACCAACTCGGCAAGAAAAGATCCTATTCTGGTCGCATGCAACAGATGTGGGAGCGTTATTCAACATGTTGAAAGAGCGAAATATGCGTCCGATGAACGCGCATGGAGTGGCAGCCTTTGGATGCAACATCTTCTATGCCCTCGGCCACGAGATGTCCGGATCAGACATCGACGAACACAACCTGACCAGGGTGATCTTCAACACCACACGGAGCGCCAAGAACCTGGCAGGCATCGTCGTGGGGGGCCGTGCATGGGGATCACTTCGCAAGCATCTTGGCGGATCCTATGAAACAGCTCGGGCAGCCACTGAAGAGGACGAGGTGCTCAAGGATGCGAATGCAAAAGCTTATTGCGTATCTCGCAACAGATATTGCTTCACATGCATTGCGTTCGAGCAGCTGATGACACCGCCTTCAACAGCCAATACGCTCATCTCGCAGTACCAGAGAGCTGCAGGCATCACTCCCCAAGGAAGAGCCAGACTTTCGCTCATCTAAAAGAGCATCCACGACAGCACCACGAAAGCTCCTCCTGGACATCCCCTTCGGCAAGGACTGCAAATCTTCTAATGGCTCAGTGCCGACACCGACTGCGACGCCCCAAACAGCATTCTTCGCAGTAAAAGACACACATGAGCTCCGCTGATTCTTATGATGCTGCAAGATTTTTGGACTTTTGTTGTGCCTTTACGTTTCCTTAAATTCCTTTGCCTTGAGTGTTCAGACAGTGCCCCAATTGTTAGATACCCCCATACGCAATGGCGAATGCATGGACCGGATATTGGTCTCAGGGAGCATCGAATATGCCGTGGTGGGCGTCAGGCAGCGGGAGCGCATCGAGCACACCAACTCCGGCACCCTTGCCAGCGACAACACCGTTGCCGTCGTGGCCACCTATGCCTCCGCCCGCATCCAGCCCGACTACACAACCTTTGCCGCCGCCGCCGCCACCGTGCAACACACAGCCGGAGCCAGCCAATGCAACAAGTACACCGACGACATCGGCAACCACGGCACGGGTACCACTTCCCAGTCAGTTTTCAGAGGACCCAGACCACTATGATACGAACCTTGTATTCAAAGCAACCTTGAAGAGGACAATAGAGCCAACAGCTTGGAGCCGTGCCAAAGGACTTGCAGGCATGGACGTCCGTGATGTCACAGTTGCGCATCTTTGCAGGCATGGCATGGAGGAATTTGGACTTCGAGGACTTTCCCACGGCAAGTTCACCGGCATGATTCTGACCCGCAACATCGCCGAGAGCGTCCTCCTCTCCCAGCTCCAGAAGAAGCTCCGCGAGAACAACATCGACGTGGATGCCACCATCGACGCCATCCACCAAAGCAAAGGACAAAAAGCCCCTGACAAGGTGAAAGAGGCCATCACCTTTGTTGCACCCCTCGTCGACACCATCATGGATGCCATCAAACCTTGGGCACAAGTGCGCAACTACGGCGCCAAGAACACCGAGGGCGACAACCAAGCAGCACAACGCATGCAAGCCTTGGAAGAGCAGACCGCCAAGTACAAACAACGCCTACGCAGTGCCGGCATCGACGTCACCCCCCAAAAGTCCCTCCCACTGCAAAATGAGCCAAATGAAGGCCCAGAAGCAACGGCGGCACCACCAAAGCGCAGACGCCTCACAAAGGGAGCCATCAAGCAGCGCAATGAGGACATCCTCGCCGAGCCCCACAATGTGATCCGTGCCAGTGGACAAGAGCCTCCGACAAGTATGACATCAATTGCAACTTGGATCACCAACCTCAAGAAGACTCTCCCCCGAGACAAGCATGCGGAAGTGGATAATCACATACAGTCCGTGCAGACCATCCTCGAAGGCGCCAAATACACCAAGGCCGAACTACAGGAGATGGCTACGAGATGGGGACTTCCCATGTCCCTCACTACAGCGCCAAAGGCTTCACCCAAAAACCTTCAGCAGCTGATCGCCGCCGTCACCTACCTCGCCGTGTGACACGTGCAGAAAATCCTGAGAGGACCCCTAGCACATCAAGAAAGTGCCAGCATCTTCCAGCAGCTGCAACAGATAGTAGACTGGGGGCAGTTTTTGCTTTTTCATGTTCCTGCTATTAATAAAGAAGTTTTGATGTGGTTAGTTGGACTTATTCATCTTGTATTCACCTTTCATAGAATGCGGCAATCGCCTGCAGCAGAGCAACTAAAAGAGCGACTCCGAGAAAAAGGTGCGGTTCCAGAACTCTACACGTTCGAGAAATTCTCTCAGCCCTGTGCAGTGTACGTCAAACTTGCATTCCCCAGGCTCAACAAGCAAACCTATGCGACTGCTACCAGGGACGCATCATTTTGCTACATCGGATCCACCAACATCACGGTGGCCAAGAGAGAGTACAACAGAGTCGCAAAACTTCGTCAACTACAACAACTCAAACTTCCCAAAACCGAGATCGCCATTCGTTATTGGAACGATTCCCAGACCTACCAGCACTACCGCACCATCCTCCTTTCGCAGCACTCGGAGTATATTGACGCCTGGGCCGAAGAACACGGCCTGATTCAGAGATGGCAGCCCAAGCTGAACTACCCGTTTGTCACGAAGGAGCTGGTCAAGAAGGCGCATGGATTGGTCCCTAAACATCAACAACCACATCTTCGCCACCCACCAGATTCTCTAGGAAGACAACTTTTCAAAAAACTCCGACGAAGAGTACAAGGACAGAGATCCTCACTTGTGAATGCGCTCCCCAAGCAGGCGCAATTCTGGAAGCTCTTGTACGCTATCTCAAGCGACACCAAGCAAGAATTTGAGGCCTCCAAGGAGCTACGCAGTGGCAAACATGACTCCGAAACAGTTACCCTGCTCTACAGACTCGCCAACCACATGGAGCAACCATGGAGATCAAAAGCACGAGCCAGACTACGAAAAGTCCTGCAGTTCAAGAACGCATCGATCCCAAAGCACAACAAGCCCCTGAAAGTCCCTCTACTTGCACATACGTCGCACCGCACTAACCTCGAAAAGTACCTGGTACGGCTCAGCAGGACACACAGACATGTGCTTATACCATATCATCTACCAACCAAGACGGTCCAGGAGGCAACGCACCCCTCTCTCGAGCGAGCTCTGTGGAACCACAAGCGGAAAGTCACCGATATGGGCAGACACTGGAAACCTACAGAATGTCAGTGTGCCCAATTCATCAGGCAACATCCGCGAGCACAAGTACACGAAGGACATGTGGTGACGGGCTTAGAAACCTTACAACTACACAGCACAAACCAGATCTTTCAGAACATTGGGGCCGGGAACGCCTTCTACTCCTCCAAGAAGCGTATCAAGAAGCAGCACCAAGAACAATTTCAGCGATGGCTCAAGCACCACCAATTTCCTCGAGATCAACGCATCCTCGACGACTTTGACGACTTCTTTGAGCAGGAGTGGAAGCAACACAGACTACAACTTCAACGAGAACCACGACTCACGCACAGATTAGCAAAGAACATATTGGGCATGATCCCTGATGACTACATTGTGCACAACGAGGACCACGCCAACGCGCACCTCATGATCTACTGCCCGAACATCTACAACCAAGCAGCCTACAACACGTGGATGGACAAACAAACATTCAGAATGCTAGATGCCGACCCTGCCGAGATCAAGCAGGCCATGAAAAACAACACCCCCAAGATCGTCGCCAAGCACTACGCCAAGCTCCTTGACTACGAAAAGCCTCTTCCGTATGGATATATCCTCATGAAACGGAAAAAGAGGTGGGCAAAAGGGAGGACTATTATCGCGTATAGCAATACGTGCATCGGCAAACTGCTGAAGATCGCGGCGCTAGCATTACACCAGATGTTGAGGATAACATGGCCCAACCATTTTGGCGACGTCAGCTCGCCACAACTATGGGAGGAAATACACCAACTCTTCTACAACAACGAGCACCTGTACCCGGAGAGGCACTTGAAATTTCTCAACCACGATCTGGTCGGCTTCTTTAATTCGATACCACAATCCGACATCCTGCAGAGCATCCAATTCCTCACATCTCAGTTCCTTGACGAGCATAACGCCACCATCACCGTCGATCCGCACAACAAGATCGCACCAGCGCATTCAGGCCGCTCAACGCACAGCCTGAAGTCCAACATGGTCAAGATGCAGGCAGAGCACATACCAGCCATCATTCAGTTCAGCTTCGACGCGTGTGCTTTCACAGCCATTGGCGAAGTCTTCCAACAGACATGCGGCACGTCGATGGGAAACCAAATCAGCCCCATCCTCTCCACGTGCGCAATCGTGGCCACAGAAATCACATGGCTACGGATGTACGGTCAATTTGTCAGCAGCGCCCACCTCCATGACAAGTTCTGGATCCGCAGGTACGTCGACAACAGAGCCATTATAGTTGATGAAGACGAACTTCAGCACAACCCCTTCATTCAGCAGCTTGCGTCCCTGCACTTCTACAAGAAACCAGTACAACTTGAAGACGAAGCGTGTGACGATTTTCTGGGATTTCGCATTCACGCAGACAATCACAAAATCACGTACAATCTCCACCGCGAGCCTTGGAGATACAGACTCCCTCAGTCAGCCGGGACTACAAAGTTACGCCTCAGCGGATATCACAGCAGAAAGCATCTCATCCGCACCATTGCCTACCCGGAAGATGTAGCCCAGAGACAAATTCAAGAACTGGACGACCTCTACGGTGACTTAGGGTATGCGCGCCTTCTGAAAACTCAACAGAGCCAGAGACCGGTAGGCAGTAGCAAGTGCAACGTCTTAGCCTTTTGTTCGTTTCTTTCAGCCCTTTCAACACTTTTCTTCAGTTTTTTGGTTCAAGCCTTGCGTTGGTACGATTTAGGGCTAATATGACTAAAAAGCAACGTATCAATGGAGCCACAAGCGCCACAGAGCTCACCGACATCGATACCGACTCCGAGGCCGCAGAATACATCGTCAGATTACCACATGGACTACCGCTGGACATGAGTGCACCCGAAAGTTCAACAGCAACAGATGATCCAGTCGAGCAAGAATGCCAACTACTCCTCCAACAAAGATACATCCCCTTCGAGCTCTTCCCAAGACTATCCACCCAGCTCAACTCCGAATTCCTCCGAGCTTCAGCACTTACCAAAGCAGGCAGAAGAACAACGGCATATACAGTCGGCGCTTTCTACCATGCCGGCAGCACCGGAGTACGCACAAACACGAGGCAAAGACCGTGGACGGCAGCACTCATGGCATACCTGGTACGAGCATGCACCCACACTACATTCTCGACTGTATCGTTACTCCGCAATGTGCACATGCGTACGCACCGAGACAAGTACAACAAGCCAGGAAGCCTCAACATTGTGATTCCAGTCTCGACTTTCCGACAAGGACACCTATGGCTTGAAGAAGACGACGGACCTGACCTATCCCCAAATGGACAACATCGCGGTCACAACCTTGAAGTCAAACTCCCCGGAATCGAGTTCAGTCCATTCAAGCTCCATGGCACGTGCCCATGGAAATCAGATCGCCTGATCATCTCGGCCTACACCACCAACCGCATCGAGGACATTTGCAGAGAAGACAAACGCTACCTTCGCATGCTTGGCTTCAACCTCCCATAATTCAATTCAGCACAACGCTGTGGACACAATTCGGTGCCAGAAGCAGGACGAGAATGCAGAAAACAGAGAAGTTTCCACAACGCTTTGCGACTTTAAGCGGTCCCTTGTCTCTTAAGCCTTTAGGATTGTGCCTTAGCTGTTTTGGATTTCCGTGTCTCAAGCTCATAAAGCCCTCCAACTATCACTATTGATCAGTGACAGTGGCAATGCTCCGTGACCGGGATGCGCGCTACTCAGACGAAGCTGAACATCACGCAGATGTGCCGACAGCCCAGCTCAACAACATGTACCAGGTGGTCAACCAGCTCAGCATTTCACAGCTGCTGGAGTTGGCAGAGTATGTGGCGCGCAGATTGAGGAACGCAACCAGATTCATGTTTGGTGGAGTTCGGTGCTGCATTCCATGCCAGCAATGCGAAGCCGCCAGCTATTGCAACCCCAGCTACGTCGTCCAAACATGTGCTCACACGTCATACTCGCGGAGTTCGGAAGAAAATCACATATGGCATGGACGACATCTTTGCTGGTTCCACACGGATTAAAGAGCAGACGCATGCAGCTAGACCAAGTGAGCAAGAAAAGTTTGCGTTTTGTGCGGTTACAACTAAGGTTTGCACTGTGCCCTGGCAAGTTTGTGTTGATTCCTTGAGCGTAGTAAGCCACTTATCTCAAGCAAGAGCCTTTGACCCACCGTCCGCTACCTCGACAAATGCGCCGGGGGAGACGCACATGGGATGGAGAGCGCCTGGAGGAAGGCCCACGTCAAGCAGGCCCTTCGCAGCTCGAGACCTTGTACAGCATCGTCAATCAACTCAGTATGGTGCAATTGTTAGAGCTCGCGGAGTTTGTTATCAGGAAAGTGGCGCGAGAGTCACGGTACATGTTCGGTGGCGTCAACTGCACATGCAATTGTCAACAATGCGAAGTAGAACATCGCAGCAACCCCGAGCTAGCCATCATGTACTGCTCCCACACATCGCTTTCGCAAAGTTCCGAAGAACATCATCAGCGACAGGGACGACATCTATGTTGGATTCATGACACAGACTAAAATGTGCAGCAGATCAGAGTTCGAGAAAAAGATGAGCGAGCAACAAGCAGTACTCAGTCACTTATTCGGCATGCATGAGCGATCACTTTTCTTTCCTTTCTGCGTTTTGGTTCCGTAAGTTAAGGCTTCTTAGTAGTAACACCAGCCATGCCAAAGCGGAAAGCTGGAGAAGCTGGACTTCCATGGTACTCTACGCGGGCTCAATGCTTTCGAATGACAGTGGAAATTCCACCTGACCGAATCTCCAGAGAAAAACATATGTTCCTACACGTGGTGCTTTGTCTTGGAGATACCATACTGCAAGCACG